CTTGGAGGAGAGGTGGCAAAACTGTTGCCTTGACAAACAATGGGATCTTTGAGGCCTTGTGATGTCTCCTTATGTGATACAAGACGCAACCAGTTACCAACAGGTTATATTCATATATAAAAGGCAAGGCAAGTTTATTTGTGTAGCACAGTTCAACAACAAGGTGATTAAAAGTGCTTTACAGAGACATTAGAAACAAAAACAAATAAAAAGCATGATTTAAAATTGATTAAAACAAGCAAACAAATGAAAAAGAGAAGTTGCCAAACACCTGTGTCATTTTGGAGTTAAATCACTGTCCTGTAAAGGTGCGTCACTATTTGTGGATGAATTTTTGTTTCAAACCTATGAGGTTTTGGTTAGACTCTGAATGTATGAACGAGAGTTTCCATGTATATATACAGCAGCTCACAGCCACGGGTTTGCAGTTTCTGCTGATTTATCACAAACAGATCCACCTGCAGACAGACTGACTGCCTTGTTGCTGTTTCATTGCTTTCTCGATGCATCAAAGTTGCTTTGAAGATAGCAACAGAGTGCGTGCGCTTGCAGACCTGGTCCCTGTGTTGGAAGCAGCCATTTCGGAGGCAATGAAATTCCAATTAAATTGCACATGATTGCAGTCATTTTGATCACACCGTGCTCTCCAGCCAGCGTTTTCCTTTGACTATAGCATTACAACATTCCTATATTGATTTCATGTAAATTGTGCTCAGCTCAGTTCCTCATAACATAGTCACGATATGCTGAAGTGGTTTAAACTAACTGTATTTGTGAAAATGCACAAAAGAGTTTCACGTATTGGTGAGGGCTATTCAGCATACACAGCGAGACAGGAACAGCACTGCTGCCACCGTGCTAACAGTGACAGCAATGGCAAGCACAGTTATCTGGAGATTTCTCACACTGGCTCCCTCCCCCAAGCCTTCCAACCCCCCTGCTGGACTAGATGGCAGTTGAGCATCTGTTACTAGACCACACCACTTACTTTGGCATATTTTGCATTACTTTGAGCAATTCGTATAAAAAAAAGTGTCAATCAATTATAGAGTAAATAAGCATGCCATGTTTGGCAGTCTTCACAGAATTCTATCATTTTTTTAATCCATGGTTGAATTAAATCAGTCGGATTGTTAGGACCTGCCCATAATCATCACATGCCGGTCCACATTCCCCTCGCGGCAGTACCAGTAGTTCTGATAAAGCTGCTGAACGTTTGTAAGTATAGACTTCACACAGTGAAGCCTGCAACTTCACATTACACCTGTGCTTTTTCCGACTGTGAACCTGAAAAAGGCAGATTGACAGTGTGTCAAGTGATTGATAAAAAGTGTCAGGATCTCACCACCACCAATTTCTTCTAATGCCTTACAGCTGTGAGAAGCTCCTCCAAAAATCAAGCATTTTTTTTGTTTTCAGAGGCGAGAGTGTCACTTGACAATCCACTCGAAACCTGCATGAGCGAGCTGTGTATCAGTGAGTCACAGCTCCACCCAAAGTACTTTAACTCCATTTTGAAACCAGTTCAAGATTTAAGCATTTTTTTTGCAGTTTGCATTCATTGCCACAACACTGCTATGTCTTTACTTCTGTCCAAAAGTAAAGACATATGTACCAGCAGCATGCACAGGCGAATCCCCCCACTCTGAAAATCACAAAACAGGCTTGCTATCGTCATTCTGCACCAAGCAAAAATCTTGAATATGCCACATTCCAGTTCTTGTAAGCTTGATGTCTATGCAGAGCTCCAGTGTTTTGTCTGGTTGGACAAAGCTGTTCTCTCGGATTTCACTTGCAGGGATCAGTATTTTTGCTCTGCTGTCAGCTTGTCAGACCGGATACAGACTGATTCTGTGAAACAAAGCTGCAAGGGTAATCTGGGGAGACATGGGGATACAGGTGGAGTAGAGATGAAAATTAAGGCATAATGAAACAGAATTATTAGAAAATTTATAAATTTTTAAGTAATAGTGTGGTCAAATCTAAAGCAGCATCACTATGTCTGTTTCTTAGTTAATGTTTTGCATGGATGCGATGTGTATTTTCTGCAAGAAGCAAGCAGAGTACATTTGGCCAGAGGCAAAATTGATATTCCAGCCAAGTGCGACACCCAGTAAGGCCTCACGCCCTCATTGAAGTCTCTGTGCTTTCTCTCTGTTCTGTAAGACAACCCTACACTTCCGTGTGTTGATAAGGAGATGGTTATTGAGCTAAAATTAATTAAAAATACATCCTGTCTTTTCTTGGGATACTTTCTGAAGGGCAGCCCAAGCACATTTCAGAATTCATTAGCTGCTTAATGATCATTGCCAGACTGGTACTCTCACTAATGTGCCAATCATATTCAACAGTTTAAATTTCTTTAGAAGTCTGAGGGCTATCCAGAAACCGTGGAATGTGTCTTCAGTTAATTTAGCACACGCAAGGAGAAAAATATCACAGCAGATTCAATGTCATTGGAAAGTTCATATGCATTTCAACAATGCTCTTGCACTTTGCCTCTGTAGGAGGAATTTTGCGTTTTATTCATTGCATGGTGCATCTAATGATGCTCCTCTGACCAAACAAGGAAACTGAAACTCATTAGCTGTGAGAAAGGTCAATGCACGCTGGAGCCACCTTTTCTTCTGCAGCACCCATTGTGATTTTGCTTAGGACACATTTTTGCTTGTAGAGAGTTCTGCCCCTAAAGATCACCCCACCAATAATTTCTTCTTGTCAGTTTGCTTCCTTTGATGAGGAGGCTGTACAGGCGTAGCTCTTATGTTTACATCATTTTAAGTAAGAAGAAAATTGTAGAAAAGATCCAAAAAACAAAAATGAGCATGCAGAATTATTTTTGGTCCCAGATGAAGGAACATAGTAGATACTTCTGTTCATCTGGACGTAACGCTTTCTGTTTCATCATCGTCCAAGTGGCTTCTTTAGTCTCAGCTGACTGCAGGTTTCCCCAACCTTTTAAACAGTACCTTTGCACAATGACTGAAACTGCACCACTGACTAACAATGAGCTATGAGGTCAGTTTCTTGATCATCTTGATCATGATATGCTAATTGTCATGACCATTGGTCAACAACCACCAATCAAAGACCATGAGTACCATTCACAGAGAGTTGGGCAATGGCTGCAGTCACAGAATTGTATGATGGTTACCCTTAGGCCCCTCCTCGATTCAGAGATGGTCTTTCCCTTTTCACGTAAATGGCTTTCTTGACTCCGCCCTGAAACCAGCGTTCCTCCCTGTCCAGGATGTTACATCCTCATCATTGAAAGAGTGTCCACTGGCCTGTAGGTGTGAATAGACTGCAGATTCAGAGTTAGCTCCTCTGTGTTGTGCCAACCACTTACCCAGAGGTTGTTTGGTTTCCCACTGAAACGTTTCTCTCATTGAAAACGTTACATCCAGATGAACGTAATTAAGTTTTTGGGATTTCCTCACCTGGATGATTGAGCATGCATCAAGACATAGTGATGCTAAAGTTTTGAATGAGATGACTTGCACAATGTGGCTGATGAAGAAACTAGAACAACGAGAAAAGCTCACATCACCAAGAGAAATAGTGACCGAACCTGCGACATGAGGGGAGATGTTATGTTCATTTCTAACTCTTTAGTTTTGTGACTCAGTGAGAGTAGCTATCCATGATTCACGGTTTAAAATCAGTCTTTATTGTGTGTGTGTGTGTGTGTCTGTGTGTGTGTTATCCTGAACAGTGGTGTTTCCACTGAGTTCATGTATGTCTGAAACGAACCATTTCAGCTCCTTTCCACCAAACTTTAAAGACAGCTGTTTTTCTTCTTACAGTTCGTCACTATGCTTCTGTGCTTACAGAGCTAAATTAACCATATCAGTGATATCTACAGGAAAAGCTACTGAGATTACTTTTACATGTTCAGTTCTGGGTCCTATTCTTTTTCTTTTGTACATGTTACCTCTAGGACTTATAATTAGGCAGTTCCC